TCAGCATATATTGAAAACCATAAATTTAAAATAAGATAATGATGACATTAATATACATAAGCAGCTTAAGATATTGAGAGATACTTAATGATGATGAATTATCGTATAAAATTTATGGCACAAAAATCTTGTACAAATGTTTATAAATAGTTAAGGCAAATATCTTTTCTGATTTTTAATCTTTTGTAATAACTATTGGTTAAGCTGATTGATTTCGTCTGCCTTTCTGCAAGAATAATGACTTAACACTGATAATCGAAATTTTATTTGCACTTCACATTGTCCTTTGGTTTCCTTTTACAACCGAATAATATATTCATTCGACATGAGGAGCTGACTTCATGTCACTTCCTTTGACTCAATTGGCAATTAGTGTCGCCCAGCTGTGGCAGCCACGGCTCAGCCGTAAAAAGAAACGGCAGCTCATTAATAACCGTAGCGAGGCTGGTCACGAGAGTTGTGGCGCTGCTAATGCAAATGTTCATACATCACTCATACGTCATGTGGGTTAATCCAATCATTAGATGGCTGCCAGTGACTGATATCTGAGAGGGAAGCGCCACTGACAGCTGCACGTCACTTGGCGCTGGGAATATCTCTAATCTATGGTTGAATGATGCGGGGCCCCAACAGTTCCATTTGCTGGATATCAATCAAACAGTTAATACCCCTTAAATGGGGGCACTAAACATGGAATTTCGTTGCATTGATTCGGCTGCTTTAAAAGGGTTGTAAGCATATTTCGGCAAATGTATTGTGCAGCGTGTCGATTCACTTAAATCATATAATTGATAAAGAGAAATAAAGTTTTTAATGAGTAAATTAGTTGCACAACATTCAACACTCTTTAAATCCTTTGCTGTAAGCGAAAAAGCAAAGTTGAATAAAAAAGTTTTCCAATACTTTTAACAAGCACGGCAAAAGTTGTTTCCGCTGAAAACTGAAGGCCACATTCTATGCGCTTAAAATATTTACAAGTAAAAGAGAGAAATGTAAATGGAGCTTACAGTCGGGCATAATCGACTACATAATACTTGTTCATTGAGCGAAATTCGAGCAAAATAATTCAAAAGGCAAAGCATTCACATTAGACATGTCTTCTTGGGTAGATTATAGAGTTTATACTTCTATTCATGTCCATGGATGATGTTAAGTGTAATCCATGCTTAATCAGAACTCTTTTGAAAAATTTGGAGATTTATAGCTCCAGAACTATCTTTTGATTCTTTTAGGGTTACATATCTACATAACTTAATACTTAACTTTCGAATATAAAATTCCTTAGCTTTATTTATAGCCTTGATCTATAGTCGACAGAGTTGGTTTTGTTAATCTTCAGTATTCATGTTTCGGACTGTCAAAAGTAAAATTAAAAAAATTATGAAAATTGCTTAGTAAACGGAATTAGTTGATTTTGATTTCTGGACCAGGCTGCATCAGCTGTAATTTTTGATGGCTAGAAGACCACCTCCGATACCGGCAACGCACGAGCGTATGCCCGGTCCTCTCGGCCAGGATACCAAGGCCAACAATGAGAAGTTCCTCAGGGATGTCATCGAAACGACCAACAAGTATCGCCAGATGCATGGCTGTCCCAAGTTAAAGGTTAACAACGAGCTGAACAAGCTCGCCCAGGAGTGGGCCAATGTAGGCAATTCTTCCTAATTAGTCATTATTGATTCGAGCAGAGAAATTGCGCTAAGTATTAATTAATGATGCAATTTGCAGCATTTGCGGGATAAAAACATTATGGAGCATCGACCGAAACCCAAATACGGCGAGAATATATTTTTGTCTGGCGGTATGGATGTCACTGGCGATCTGCCCGTGGATATGTGGTACCGGGAAATAAATGCCTTCAATTTCGATAAGCCCGACTTTACGCCCACTTCTGGCCATTTCACTCAACTGATCTGGAAGTCCTGCACAGATATAGGTGCTGGCGTTGCACGCAGGTGCGTATCGAGAGACATCATTCATTCCGATTCAATCGGATTTCTAATTTCATTTTGCCCTTCAGGGCGGATCGTACCTGGGTGGTCTGCAATTATCATCCGCCCGGTAATATAGTCGGTCAATTTAAAGAGAATGTCCCTAGAAAGCTGTAGTTATTATATTACAATATCATTGCATTGAAAATTGTAATATGGGTCCAGGAATTTTTATTGTACATAGCGCTAATAATACTGTAGCGGCTGCTTGGTATACATTTTATATACAAACTGAGAACTATTGAAGCAAGTTCGGTGTATTTCTTTGTTGGGTAAGGGAAGAGCTCTCATTCTTAAGTAATCCTATTTTCTTATAGCAGCTGGGAAAGCTTATCTTAGTTTCAGTCTATAGATGGTCTGAGATGGACAGATGAGTTGATACCCTGATGGATAGATTGAGGTTAGGGTTACCCTTACTTCGTACTTACCTCATTTTTAAAGATAATTTCTTGGGTATAGGTAAGGAATACTAATAATCTGATTTTGTGTGCTCTTTAATCGTCTTATATCTCATATTCCCATCATAAGACTTAAGGACTTTTTGTTATCACTATTCTGCTTTAGCATAGCACAAATGAAAGTATTTAAAAATGATCTCTCTTAGAGACAATGTTGTCCCATTCAATTTAGTTGGTCTCGACACTAAGCTAGGGATACAAATTTCCACTTCTGGCCAAATGTAATGTAATACGAGATGCTTGGGCCTGAATTATTTTTATTGAATTTTCTGCAACGCTGGTGAAATTTAACGCTTCGTCGGTCTCTGGCTGGCTGAAGCTTCAGGCGCCAAATTTAATTTCGCATGTTCAAATTGTTTTTTTTTTTTTGCGACACTTTTCAAGTCACACATCATTAATTTTGCATTTTTGCCATAAATATCCCGCTAATGCGGGGGCGTGGCAGGCGTGGCAACATGACTGACATGGACACGCTGCTGTTGCCCTCTTGCGCGCCAAGGAAGGTGTCACGGCTGCCCAGGGCAAAACATGGCCATGCCCTCAACGATTGCAGCCTGTTGACAGTTTTTTGCGTACTTTTATTTTTATTTTTTTTTCTGTCTGTTTTGTTTTTTTGCTTTTGCGCGCGTTCAAATTAAAAACCGCGAATTTCATCATAAAAATTCATAGTCTACTCTCGGGGCGTTAAATCGTGTGGCGCCCACGTTATGATCACATTTCTCTTCAACTGTTTGTTGTTGTTGTTGCTATTGTTGTTGTAGCCTTCGCATATTGCCATTGCGCCTTTGTTGACTTCCGTTTTGTGTTTGTTGTAGCCGGCAGCATTTTTGTGGCAAGCTGCCAGCCAAGTTTGATGCGTCGCTAGAGTCAACGTATATGTATATGTATTTGTGTGTGTGTGTGTGTGTGGGTGTGTTTGCTCGTTTGCTTGTCACTTGTTGGCGGTGTGAAATTGAAGCCAGCAGCTACAGCAATAGCAACAGCAACAGCAACAGCTACAATAACAACAACAAAAACAACAGTCAACGTAACGAACACCCACCAAAAGTGGTTTATTGGGTTAGGTTCATGGCTTACGGTTTATATGGCAGTGTTTAAAGCAGATTTTGAGATCGTTTAATGCCTTTAATGCATAACTTGAATATGCATGATTAAACATGCAGTGATTGAAGGCGTACAGCTTCAAGTATGTTAATTAAAGGGAATATAGTTTAGAGTAAGGAAACTCACAAAAACAAAAAATAGGAACAAATCAGGTCAACTTACTTGTTTGGAGTCCTTTGATATACCAGCATAAAGGCAAAAAATGTATATTTGACATACATAACATAACAGTAACAGCCATACAATATTCTTCGTTTGCAGCATATAATCCGATTGATTCAAAGTATTCAATTTACATTGCGAATAACATTAACGAGCAACCGAACTGAACTGAACTCGACCCTTTGGCATTGCCATAAAGTTGAGCAATGTAATTAAGACAGACGAAGCTGACAATCAGGTCAGCTCGTCAGTTCGTCAGTCCCCCTGTCCGCCTGTTCGTCAGTCTGCCAATTGGCCAAGTTTAAACCAATGCCGTGCTACCTTTTCATTTATGCAATGCAAATGCACACGAATATGCCAGAGGATCCAGCTCAACTGCAGCTCAGCTCAAATGCTGCTCGATGCCTTTTATGCATTGTAATTTTCGCGTAATTTCGCATGGTAAACGTGAAAATGCTCGGCTATTTTTACAACAATAACAACAGGGTGCAGCAACAATATGAACAACAACAGGAGTATCTGCTTACGGCATAGTCTCATTTATTTTAATGTGTCGACGCTGACGACGTGCAAATGGCTGTAAGTTTGCCCCAGCGCTGAGCTGCCAGCTTTTGCAGCTCCTCCTGTCCGATTCAGCTCGGCTGCTGGATTTTCTGTTTAAAAGTGCAGCTGCAACTTTTGTTCTGTTGTGTCTGTGTATATGTATGTCTGTGTGTGTGTGTGTGTGTGTGCTGTAATTATTAAGCTGACATTGCAGCTGCCGCCTGCTGTTGCACTTGTTCGTTCAATTTCAGTGCAATGGCAGCGGGCACAACGATAGTTGGGCTCATAACAATGCCAATTTTAATGATCATTACAATAAGACAATAACCATAAAAATTGCACAGCGACACATGACACAGCCCAGCAACGGCAGCAACAACAACTTTAACCATATAATGCTTCGCATTTATTGGGCTTATGGGGCGTATTAATAATATTCAACTCTGGCCTCCAGATGAAAGGCAAGAAAAAAAGCTCAACTTGAGTCACACAATGAAATCGAATTAAATTTCAATTTGAACAGCAAATGTTTGCAACATTTACATGCAACAATTTTTACATTCACAATTGAAATACTCGCAGTTTTTGTGCTGCACTCAAATTTGCTTTTATGTTGCATTTATGTTTTATCAGTCAACATATGGCCAAATATTTTTTTTGCTATTTAATAAATTATCATGCGACATTGTCATAAATTGACAAGCTATTTTTTTATGTCTATTGTTTTGCTCCATTGCCGCAAATTTGTATTTATTGCCAGATTTATTCATTGTCAAATCAGAAAATTCCTGGTTTTATTTCGGGCAGCAAATGAAATGAACTCGCTGTCAAAATTTTGTAAGCTCAAAGGCAGAAAAAATGTGAATTGATAAATTTTTTTTATTGAGTTTCTTGCAATGAACTATTTTATAAGAATCCATATATATTTTACATTAAATGATGGGATTTAAAAAAATTTTATCAAATAAATCAATTTTTGATTGCTAAAAAAAAAGAAATAAATAAAAAAAATTTCTTGTCTAGAATTTTCAGTAATTTTGACAAAATAAAAATTATTATTTAGTTTAATTTATTTGCTGAACGTAGTTTTAAATGCTACTGAATGAGAGCGTCTTATATCATTATACCTCTCGTTCCCTCTCCGACTTCACGAAGACATGAAATGAGCGGCGTTTATATACAATAAGACCCAAGCTCGCTCAGATAACATTTATACAAATGTTACGAGAAAATTAAACAGAAGTAATCACCAACAGTGCACTGCTAAAATACACTTTCTTACTCAATTGTAGCCTTCTCTTCGTTCGTTGGAATCATAATGACGCTAGCCGAATGTGTAAGTAGCCATACCTCTCTCAGAAACATCAGTCTCCTTTCTCTCTCACTCCAGAACATCAGTCGCAACGTTCGGCAACAGCTATATTACTCTCTCTTCCACTCGATGTGAGAATTAGAGGATAAAAGAGAAACTAAGCTTACAGCGCAAGCTCACTCAGCATATTACACCAACAACTTTATGCAAGCTCTCAGCATACAAAATGTAACAGAATTAGTAAACTGTAAAATAACAGAGAAAGAGCAGCAACGAATACCGAGTCTGTTATATAGGTATATACTAAGATAAAACTGTTACGAGTCGAATAAATGCTGCGACATATACTAACAGCAACGCTAATATGATTTAAAAGACGAAGTCAAGGTTGGATTATGACAACTTGCTTTATTGAATATCAACTTAAGACTAACAATTGTAGGTCTATTGACACGTATTTATGCAGTATTTATTTATGAGTATTCAGTGTTGGGCATTTCACCACACAATTCCAACACATTAACAATGTTGCGTCAACTTCTAATTGTCTATTATGCACTGTGTGAGGCTGTGTGAGTGTATGAGTATTCAGTGTTGGGCATTTCACCACACAATTCCAACACATCATCCGAATACTAGACCTAGGTCAACGAAGCTGCGCGCCTTGCAAAGACGAATCAGCTTAATGACGCGACCATACAGCTTCTGAATATTGTAGACGTAATCAGTATGATTATGTCACTATATATGTTTAGCAGTAAACGATCATATGCATAGTGCATAGATGTGTGAGTGGTCCAGCAAGAGTTTTACTAATTCTGTTTCAGCTGCTGTTTAAGTTATTGATATTAATTAGGTGATTATTTTTGTTAGGACTTGCTACTAGTAATTGTAGTTTATGTAACCTTAGGTTCCATTAGGCACCAGACACAATTATAAAGATTGTAAATGATTTGTATTTCTGTCTGTTTATGATATATATGTATGTATGTAAATATTTAGATGTTAGTTACAAGTTGGTATATCCCTCTTAAGGCCTTTCGCTATTATAGCACAGTTATCGATTTTACTGATCCAAGGCAATTTTTGCACTGATAGCGTTCTATAATGGCTGTTCAATTATCCAGACGTGCAGGCACCGCTGTGGATAAGCTATAAATATTGTGAATGGAATAAACACATTCAAGCACTCACTCACACACATACACTCAGAGAGATATTGGATTTCCGAGTGGCACCTAGAGAAGCATTCTTGCATAAATTACAATCTGCAACGGCAAGGAAAGTAAAATGAGAATCAGAAAAACGAATTTGTGGCACAGTTGAAATCTCTGGGGAGATGGAGCGAGAGAGGTTGGGAGAGGTGTGGCAGGGATAACCAACATTGGCAAGGATAGCAGCTGAAAGAACTGCCTGCTGCATTAACCCAGCACTGTCTTGGCATTATTTAAAATCACAAACCCTTCAAATTGCATTTTAATAGAATTTATTGCGCCAAACGATTCGAAAAGAAATTCCCACAACAACCGACAGAGAAAGAGAGAGAGAAAGAGAGAGAGAGAGAGGGAGATTAAAGAGACTGGGGTCAAAGGGGGCTCCGAATAATTGCGCGCAACTGCAACACTTGACTTTCACGTGGCTCGAGTGCCATCAAATGCTCTATTCTCGGGGAGCTGGCAAAGCCAAGCGGGATGCGATAAGCACGGCATTTTCTTGGCTTCTTTCTTGTATTATTATTTTTATTTGCAGCGAGCAGCGAAGCGCATCAATTTCCAAGCACAAAACTACAATGAATACAGCGAAAATTACGACATTCGCCTGGCCCCGACGGGCAACAGTCGGGACAACAAATTATTACTTGGCTCCACTCCAAAATGTTTAAATTACAATTTGCCCAAAATACATACATATGTACATATGTTTGTCGGGAGCGAGAGAGGCGGAGAGAGTGCGAGTAAGCGGGTAAGAAACCATTTTAGTGCGCCCGTGGCGAATGCCCATGGCCATAATTTTCATGAAAATCAACAGCCATGGGATAGGCGTTGCCCATGGCCCAGCCTGTCGTTGGCTTGCTGATAAACTGCTCTGGGAATTGCCTGACCACCTGCTGTTGATCCTTGTCTTGCAGCTTATCAACGTTGCGTATACGCAACATGCATAATTATTACGCAATTTATTTATCCCGAACTTGAATAAATTGTTAAGCCATTGAATCACTCTTCTTATGCCTTAATCACATTATTTATCTGGCATTATGCAGAGGTCTGCACTGATTTGTTTCAGCTGAGTTTGAGTGCATAAGTAAATTAAATATACATATTTAGTTATTAATTATTCTCCATTATTACTTTAAATACAAAAGATGATTGTTAAACTAGCCTTGACTAGATGTTCATGTCTTTCTCTATCTGTCCTATAAATCTTCTACGATTTCAGTATGAATATTTAATATATTTTTCTCTCCAGCAACACGAGCATATCTTTATAATTAAAAGCCAAGCGGGCATCATAAAAAATTATCTTAATGTGAATTCCATTTGTGTGAAAGGCAAAAGTGAATGCATGCACAGCTCAAATGAATGGCGAGCAGAGAAAAAGTGCGCGTTAAATGAGAGAGGCGCAAAAACTAGAGGGCAAAGATCAAAATAGTTTAAATGCCATTAGCACAATGTGCTGTGAGCTGAAGCACGGATAACCAAGGCTGGCATAGCCAAACTCAGCCAGAACATCAGCTGGGCCCTTCGGCCAGCGGTTGACCACAATTTTTTGGTCAAGCTGCCGTTGCTGCTGCTGCTGTTTGCTGCGGGTAGCTTTTCTTTAGCACTCGGCTCATAATTTCAGCTGTTCTTTGCTTTATGAAAAAACTAATGTGTGGTTGGCCTGTGTTTTCTTTTTCTTTTTTTTTTTTTTTTTTTGGCAGTAAGCCATCGCGGCAGTTCGCGTATATTTAAATTATTCTAGTTTTGTTTGTGGTCTTTTGAAATTGCGTATGCCAAGACTGCAGGCCGAGTGCTCGCTGGACAACTTTCGGCTGGACAGGCATTTAAAAATGCATTAAGAGCTTTAATTAAAATTTTGTTGAAACGACCTTTTCAAATTTACCAAGAACTAAAGAAAAAAAGAAAAAAAAAATTGTCTGCATTTGTTTTTTTTTATGAGAGAGCAATGCCCTTTCTCTTTCCTTATTCACCTTAAACAAGTAAAAAGCAAGACTAAAATGAAACAAGAAGCAAAAATATATAAAAAATAAAACAAAAACAAATTGCGGCTCATGTCCATGGCGACAGCTAGCGTATGTAGCCGCTAGGTGGCGCTGCCGTTGGCACTTTACATGCATGACTACGTGTCCTTTTAATATCCTGTATGCGCGACGCTTCAAAACTTCCGCTAGCAAATAAATAAAATGAAATATGAGCTCAGCATTCAGAGCATACTATATTCCCTTCGTAACTAACTGCATGTCGGCAGCGCCTCTGAAGCAAATGGAACTACAAAGGATATGCATTCGCTCATTTATGACTCTACTCTGGCTTTTGTGCACTCAGTTAGGCTTGAGTTCCTTGAGGAACATTTCTTTATTTACTAAGGTATTACTATTTAGTATTATTATTAGTATTAGTATTAGTATTAGTACTAAGGTAGCAAGACTTTCCAAGGCTCGTATGTCATTTACATTAAAGGAGAGATCGTAGTCTATACACGGCATTGAATGAATTAAAAATACTGTTACATTTTCAACTTTGATTTGTTGGTCAAGTATTGCTCATAAATAAGCTGAATTACTTGGTAGGACATAAGAAATATAATTACATATATAAATTCTGTTGATGCCTAACATTTATTTAATCTTTATTTCGATACAGAAGAACTTTAAAAAAAGCATACGAAATTGTAAGTTTTCTTATAATAAAGTATTAGCTTGAGTTTGATTTGATGGTAAATGAAGAGCTTGAAACGAGTTTTCAAATAGATTTCCAGATCCAGCCGTTTTTAATCGTCTAATGGACAATCTTTTGAAAAGGAGTCGTGTTTGGAATTTTCTAATCGTCTTTTAATAATGATAAGGAGGTTTTAAAGACATTTTAGTGCTTTATCTATGAAATATCTATATTTTACATGACGAAATTCCCATAAATGCTAGGAATGCTGAGCCTGTTGCTGAAACGAACTCGGGTGCAATTAACTTACATTGAGTATAATATCAAGAAAATTATTTTAGGTCTGCCAGATTAGAATCGTATTTATATAATAGTAGGATTAATTAATAATTTAATTATGGGAAATGTCTGTTAAATTACTTGAAGTATATAGTATTAAATAATTTAAAATTGAAGGAGGTGCTTGAGTTGCAATTTTATGGATGAGAATATTGTGGTCTCCTCGTTCCACCTGTGTTTGTTCCACCTGTTCTCGCTCTCCCTGTGCTTGCTTGCTGCAACTGAGCAAATGAAAAGCGAGGGCATTGCTAAAGTGAAACCAAAGCGAGCAGTTATAGTTTATTTATTGGGAAATTCATGAACGATGAAACGCACTAGGTAGCATGAAAAAATATTTTGCTGTCAATTAAATATATTAATTCCAAAGATTTTAAAGAAATTATTTTACTATAGATAAGTAAATAATACTCCAAATACTCAACATCCATTCAACCTGCACAAATCAAAAATAATTTCATATTCATTTAAATAGTTTCATTTTGAATTAAAAATTAATTTGAATAAATAAAATAAATAAATTTTCATACTCTCATAATAATCGTTTATAAAAATCCTCTTCAATCAGTTGTATATTTCATGCTTCAATGGTTTTTATTTTTTGCTAAAGTGTTTCACTCTTATTTGCATAATTATTTGTAAACATCAGCGTGTTTTGTTACAATGCATCAATGCTCTAATTATTATTTGCATAATTTGACTCTTGCTAATGTTTAATGATTTAACAACAGCTACCTGTTCGTGCCTCTGTGCTCCTGTGCCCCTGCGCGCCCCTCTCTCTATCACTCTCGTAACACCTGCACACAAATTTCAATTAAGAGCATTCGGCAAAATTTTGCCAAACATTTGGAGTGTCTGTTCCGAAATTAATTTGTTTGTGTAACAGGACAAACTAACAACTACAGAGTTGATTTCCAACCCTTGGCACCTAACCCTCCCAAGCTCACCTCCACTCCACCCCACTTCAACACTCGGCGTGTTCTTGGCCAGATGCTGTTCAAACAAATTGCGTACGTGTATGTGGCGCTTGGGTCCTTTGCTTCTTTGGTGATTGTAATGCAAGCAAATAAACGACCAGGTGAAACACGAATATTCATACACGCCCGTCCCCAGCATTGAGTAAAGGGAGCTTAGCTT